TGATTTTGGTTCACTTACTTCAGGTCTGGTTTGATGGATTTTTGAGATCTGGTTTGGATAGTTGAATTATAAAATTTAGATGTTCACAAATGTCTCCCATCAGGAGTGTCAAAAATAATTTGTCACGGGTGATTATTGTGAACCAGGTGTTGGACTAGAGGAGACTAAATGGCCATATAAAGATCTCTCATTTTAGCCACTCTATCTCATATCTAACTTTCGAAAAACTTAGAATGCTCTCAATCTTCAAGGATGGCTTCCTCATCAAGAGCTTCTTCCTTGGGCCCTAAGCCTGTTGATCTAGAGGATTTGCACTTGGAGCTGGTGACCTACATCTCGATCACTTGGAATTATCATGTAAGTGCTTCTACTATATTCTTGTTTTAATTCCATGCATGATAAAGGATGTTTACTTAGGAAATTTAGAACAAGAATCTTAACTTAGAGCTTTCAATTCCTTCAATGACAAAGGATGTCGATTTAGGAATTATTTTTCTTGCATGATAAAGGATACCACTTAGGAATTTGGAATTTAAATTAATTTTTTGCATGACAAAGGACGCAAATTAGTAATTAAGTTATTGGAATGAATTTTATTAACTCCATGTCGATTAGGAATTAATAAGCTCTTTTTTTACGACTCAAGACAGTAAGGACTTAGGCTTAATGGTGGTAGGACCCATTTATCAGATCTTTTGATTGATTTGACAGCACTGGAGCATATCCAGGACCTGCAAGGGTGGCTTCCTCATCGAGAGCTTGTTCCTCGGGCTCTATTGCCACTGATCTAGAGGATTTGCACTTGAAGCTGGAGACCTACATTTCGGTCACTCGGTATTATCATGTAAGTAATTATGTTATATTCTTGTTTTAATTCCATGCATGACAAAGGATGTTTACTAAGAAAATTTGGAACAAGAATCTTAATGTTGAACTTTTAATTCCTTAAATGACAAAGGATGTCGATTTATAAATTATTTTTCTTTTATGATAAAGGATATCACTTAGTAGGCATGGCCAAAATCTGGTTGTCAGAATCAGAATCGAAATTGTGCGAAATCAATCCGAACTAGGCTTGCGGTCCGATTTTGGTTTTAAATTTTGTGGAACTGTGAACTAATGGTTCTAAGAGCCGTCGAAATTGGACGGAACTGGCGATTTTTTTAATCGGTTGGAACCGACGATTGCTATGATTCAAATCAACGGTTTGGACTGGCAGTTCCAAAAAAAATTGAATTTTAATGTGTAATGGCTAGAACCGACGGTTACACCGATTCAAACCGACGGTTCCAGCCGGTTCTAGAAAAATCTTTTTATTTTTGCAAAACCCTCTTAACAACTATAAATACCCTATTATTTTTTGGATTTACTACAAATACCCCATTATTTTCATTTATCCTGACAAAAAATTATTTCTCTCTACTATTCTCCAATCTCTCTAAGCTCTCCAATTTATAATTGTTGTCCAAATTAAGTTCAAGAATTTAAAAAATAAATTTAAGTTCGAGCCCTTCTTTTAATTTTGCTTAAAGTTTTTTTAAAAATTATTTCATAGATATTTAAATTTTAAATTTTTAATAAAACATTTTTCCTAATTTTGTATTTTATAATTATGCGATTCGCTAGAAAACCATTTGGAGAATCGGCCCGAACAGTCAACTGAATTTTTATCAGAAATGGAGGTCATTAGGCTCGGCTCGGATGCATGAACTTCTGAGCACTGTTCCTAATGGTACTAGTAACTGTTACTATTGGATGGTTGTGCAACCACGTTGCTTTGGTACTATTCAAGCATCCTAGAGGGACGTACTGGATGAACAAGTGTGTTTGGTCTATTGGCCTTTTGATAGCCTCCTGCACCATATGGTATACATACAAGGCCACCATGGATGTAAACATCTTGAAGACTTTTGAGGATCCTTCAAAGCTAGGAGAATTTGACTGGAGTGGAGCCATTCTGTGGTCCATGTATGATGATATGTGTAGCCTATCCAAAGGTGGGGCTTCTATTGTTGGGATTTACATCTTGTGAGAGGTATTTAATGTTTCCCCTACACTATCTTATTCATTTTGTTCGAAAATCCTGACTTGTTTCTTTATGTAGGCCTGGGCCCATGAGTATCTTCCTTTTACTCAAGCTATGCTCTTAGAGATTTGGGCTCTATATGGTTCCCAAGTCCCAACCTCTCGCTACTAGGGTAAAGATAATACCGTGAAGCTGGGTATTAGAGATTTGGCTATGTTGACGGACTGGCTGAGCCGTTTGTCCTTTTATGAGGTAATAACTTGCCATTTTATTTCATCCACCCTTATTAGTATCTAACATTTTCCTATCTTATTTATAGATTCAGTGGACTCCTTTTGTTCATAAGATCAATTCTTTACTTCCTCCTTGGTCCCATGGTGCTTACATTCCAACCTGTAAGCACCATGGTCCAATTTTGCTTGCAAAAACATGCATTAAATGTTCTCTTGAGAGAATGAAAACATTAGTTGGCTGGCATTAAAAATAAGACAGATTTTAATGTGTTCTAGGGGTAAATTAGGAAGAAAATGGACAAAATATTACGTTAAACTATCTCATTAATCCTTATATAAATTTTATTTTCTCTGTATAAAGAGAATGGAGGGAGTTGTTATTTAGTACTTCCATGATTACTTTCTTAAGTAATAATATTTTAAAGGCAATCGTTAGATTATTACAAGATTAATGATTTATAAAATACAATGACTATACTTTCTCGAAAACAAAAGTAATCAAGGCACCTTCTATTTCAATTTTCACAATAATTTTAGGAAAATTTACTGTTTCATTTCTAAGATTTAGCAAAATCAATTACTTTGTCCCTAGAGTTTGATAAAGTTATTTTGATATCTCTGAAGTTTGCTTTCATCTGACTTTTTAGTCTTTCTAATAAAAAATGACATTTATATCGTTAATTTTTAGTAAAAAAGAGCCGAAATGCCTTCTATTAATTGAATGAAAAATACAAATCACTGCTCTCTTCTAGAACAAAATCAATAATAAATATCAAATCATATAAAAAAATAAGTATTAGGAAAAAAAATACCACTAAACTCTAGAAAAATAATACAAACCAATAATAAATAACAGTGGAATTTTAGTATCTCTATTGTCCATTTAGGTCATTATTGCTTTAATATTTCTAGCAAAAGATATAATACATATAATAACGATGATTTTTTTTTTTGTTTTGTCGTTATGAACATTGTTGCTTCAATATTTCCAGCAAAATAAGCATAATGAAGAGGCGTCCCACCTTTATTGTTTGTAGTTTCAAACAAATCTATGGAAATTGAATCTATACGTTGTTTACTAATTAAATTTTGTAAATTTGTGAATTTTACACCACGTCATTGAGTTCTTCTTTTCTTTCAATTTTTCTTTTTATCATTTTCGAAAATGTTTGATCATCCTACAATCTCCAAAAGGGGTGATAGATGGTGCTCCTTAGTTTTGAGTCTTAATTTAATTATTTCTTTCTTTATTTTGAATATATAGATGAATCTAAACAAAGGGGATAACCTAAAATTGACATACATATAATAATTGCTCATGAAAAATTGAATTTCATAAATTAAGATTATTTAGGTCAAAATACAAATGTTTAAACCAAAAATTTAGTCTCTAAATCCATCTCGATTTTGGTTCATGAACATAATCCAAATAAACATTTTGATTCTTTTATTGAATTGGACCAGTAGGTAGGACGGGGCCTCACAAGCCAAAGCAAACACCAATTGGGAAACAATTGCTATTTAATTTTAGCTTCTTTATCTACTTGTTCTTATTCCACCAATCTTATATACTATGATAGTATGCATTAAGCGTGACATTTGACATTTCTTATTGGAATTTCATCGAGAGTTTTATAAGCAATGTTTAATCCCCTGAAAGGAATAAGTCTATTACCTATTTAATCACTAAGTAGCATGTGTTAAACACAACTCTTCTAACACTCATTTTGTCAAACACATTCTCCCTATAGTAAAAATCCTTGATCAATGAGTTAACTCCTCGCTACCTTATTCGATTGACTTTCTATTACACCAATGTCTCTTCCGAAAGGACTAGTGTTTTCTTAAAATATACTTTGTGCGCTTGTGATAAACTTTGCATTTTCAAAGCTTGCTCTTTGAAGGTTTTCAAAGCCTTTTTCCGATCTTCCTGTGATTCATCACTACTATTGTTTCCTTCTACACTCCAATCTCGGATTCTAAAATTTTAATCCAAAATTTTATTTTTTATAAAAGTTATACAGTCAAAGTGAATAAATAGCTAGAGTAGCATAGTATACTAATTCTTCATATGAGGCGGTGAAGGCCACAATTGATTGGTTCGACAAAAAATGAAAACTAATTCCTTGCCTTTTAGGAGCTACAATTAAATCTGTGCAAATTTTAGGTTTAAGCAAATATTAGAACCTTAGAAATAAAGATGAGCCTAAACCTAAAGTCATTGAAGAATGAAAAGAAGTTCTCTTCAATGGAAAATAATAAGGCTTTAGTTAATAATCAACGACATTCATTTTAGTTTTCCTTCTGCAATTGCGTTTTTGGTGTAGCGATAGAAGCAATACAAGGTGAACGAGGGAGGAGAGTTTGATAGGACTAAGAATGTTAAGAATTGTATTCTATGATTCCTTACCTTAATTAAGAGATTTAATTCTCATTGATGGCTGTAGTGGTAGTGGAGGTGAAGGTGGAGGTGGTGGGGGAATTAGTCGAGAGAAGATGGGGGTGGGTTAGAGAAATTAAGGGTATTTTTATTTTTTAAATTTAAATCTCCCACTTCTCACCTACTTTTCATCTATTTTAATAAAAAAAAGTACTAAAATTGGATTGACGGACTAAAGAATTAGATGAAAACAAACCTCAGGTAAGTCAGAATAATTTTACAAACTGTAGTGGAGAAATTATTAATTTTATCAAATTACAGGGATTAAATTTTAATTTTCCACAATTTTATATAAGCTGGCAGGCGCGTGCTGAACCGGTAACCATGCGAGGCCCAAGCTTCTGAGAAGAGCCACGAAGAAGAAACCCTAAATCTCCAGAAGCTGCGTCAAGCAGGCTGCTCGGTTTGCAGAACGATTCCCTTGGAACTCACATAGCCGGTCCAGCCCACTCTATCTCTCCGCTTCCAGCTTTTTCGGTACAATGTCAACAGGCTCCTACCTCTGTGTCTCTGTTTGTGTGTGTGTTAGGGTTTCGCGATGTGAATGTTTTGATTGCTATCTTTCAGTAGCTTTTTATAAGAATCGGATACTACTGTGTGAAATGGCCTTTTCTTATTTGAGATGGTAATTGGTATTGGTTTCCTTGTCAATTAATGGATTTTCTCATCTCGCTCTTTAGAGGCGAAAAATTTTGGACTCTATTGGAGTCAGTGTATACCGGGGTTGTGAATGCATTGTTACTATTATACTTTGATTTTCTTATTCACATTTGGTTCTGATTATTTAGGTTTTTTTTTTTTTTTTTTTTTTTTTTTTTTTTTTTTTTTTTTTTTTGGTTCTTGATTATTAGGTTTTTTTTTTTTTTTTTTTTTTTTTTTTTTTTTGATTTTTAATTTTTAATTTTTTTTTTTTTTTTTTTTTTTTTTTTTTTTTTTTTTTTTGATTTTTAATTTTTAATTTTTTTTCATTATACGATATCTAATTGGATGTTTTTCATTAGTGATGATAATGTTGATCCCATTGTGTCATTTTGACTAGGAATAGGAATCTATCCTTTTGTCCCATGGCTTTGAGTGTTGGCAGCCTACAGTGAAGGGGACGTAAATGAGAATCTTCAACAATAAGGTCTTTTATTACTCGAATTGCATTCCCGCATACTGTCCACTGGGAATTTTAAATCAATTCTGTGTTTGTGTGCGTTTTTGTTCCTTTCTGTTGGGGTTGGTTGGTGGTTTGCAATCTAAATAGTTCTCTTTTCTAACTATTGGACGTTATTGGATCAGCATATATGGTAAAGGAGGATTCTTGATGATTAATGAGAATTCAGTAAATTGAGAATGCTGCTATGCTTCTCTTAAGCACGTCTGAAAGCACTTTATTCAATTGCTCAAGCTCAATGATAGACGTGCGCTTACTAGTTTTAATTTTAGTTGCATTGGATTGCTGGAAAATTTATCTTTCAGCAGATGCTTTTAGGTCCTAGAGAAAGCATATGGAATTCTGGAGACATTTTTGCTACTCCTTTTCCTAGATATTACACAAGTAAGGAAACCAAGTAGAGCATCAAGATTCTCCCATGACTATGCTGATAGAAAAATTTATAAAAATGACTAGGCAACATATACCTATACATCAAAATTTTTTTTGAACAATATAGGCCGAAGTTTTCTTGAATCACTAAATCGCTATTTGCTTGCCAAAAGAATTCCAGGATTATTAAAACAAAAACAAAATGAGAGAGTATGATGGAGTATTTACCCTCTCTTCTCTCCCTAAGATGATTTCTTAAAGTTTCATTGTTTCGCTAAATTAATGGAACTGGGGGGTATGTGTGTATTTTCCAGGATTTTTTTCTTCAATTTGTTAAAAAGAGAACTGAGTAAGGTAAATGCATAAATATATGTCAATCTTACCTGATCTCATGACACAAATGCTTTCTTTATGATAGATGACAAGCGCTTGGACAAATATGAGCTTTGCAATCATACATAGGGATATAGAAAGGGAGTGGGAGAATCAGGGTGGACTTATGGGTATTATTTTTTATAACTGGAGTTCTTGCTCACCCTCAGAAGAACTATACATCTGCAATAATTCAGGGGAGAATGAGGAGATCAAAATAAATTTCAAATTTGTTATAGCTTTGGAGCATCTTGGAGCGAATGAGCAATGGAGCTTTTGGAGCACCGCTCACATGGAGGATTGCTCACTTGGTTTGCTTCATAGTTTTGGTTTTGCTACCTTTGCTATTGTCAGAGTGCTAATGATAATCAGAACAGGAGTGGATAGAGTTACTGTATTTCTGAAAAAAAATGGAGTTTTTCTCTATTTATGTGGTTCATTTGCTCTCTGCAGTGAAAGATTTGCTACGTTCCTCCGATAGCAAAAATGAGTGGCCGCTTTTCTCGGACGATCTATGTTGGCAACTTGCCGTCAGATATAAGAGAATGGGAAGTTGAAGATCTATTTTACAAGGTTTGATTTAAATGATCTGTTAGTTGAGTCTATAACCAGTGCTGGTTGATTTATAAGTTTCATTCGTTTCAGAACTACCAGTGCATCCCTTTGTTATGCTGCATGTCAGAAATAATATTGCAATTTCTTACCCGTAATGAAGTATGCATGAGTTGTTCAACACTGAATATAATTGTCTTTTTATTATCTTATCTGTTTTTAGCATTCGATGCCTGATGCCATAGTTATAAAAGGCACGCCTTAATTAAGGCTCAAGGGCTTGCGCCTCAGCAGTCCTGAGGCGGGCGACTTCACTCAGGCTATCGCCTTTGGGTAGAGGCGTGCGCCTTTTTTGCGCCTAAGGCTCGCGAAAGGCGTGCCTTTCTATTTTTTGTTTTCCAGAACAAATAACCTGGGTTTTTTTTTTTTTTTTTTTTTTTTTAGGCTCGCGAAAGGCGTGCCTTTTCTATTTTTTTGTTTTCCCCAGAACAAATTAACCTGGGTGTTTTTTTTTTTTTTTTTGTTTTTTTTTTTTTTTTTTTTGTTTCAATATAAGCTATCTAGCAACATCACCTTACACAAAATAAATAAATAAATATAAAAGAAATAAAATGCAACACAAAAACTGGTTATGTGATTTGTGATCCAACCTCCGCTCCTTCATCTAGCACTCACCTCTTGCAATCTAGTCTTTAGCCCCATTGCATCCAGATATAACTCTTTCAATATTTCCTCCTATATTTGCTTTCTATTTCTTTTCTTTTTTTCATTTTTTTTATTATACTCTTTTCTGTCTTAACATTAATGTCTTAAAATATAACTTGTCATGTTGCCATTTTTTTCTGATTTATGTGTGTTTCTTTCCATGTTTTCTACTTTTTTTCTTTTTTTTTTCTTTTTATATTGATATCATAAAATATATTTTTTAGATTTATGTATTTTACCCTTTTATTTATTTATTTATTTTTTTGCGCGTCACTTCACTCAGGTGCGCGCCTTCGCTTGGAGGCTAGCGCCTAGGCTCTAGCAGCCCTTTGCGCCTTAGTGCGCCCTGCGCTTTTAATTAGTTTTCTACTTTTTTTCTTTTTTCTTTATTGATATCATAAAATATATTTTTTAGATTTATGTATTTTATCCTTTTTTTTATTTTTTATTTTTTTTGCACCTCACTTCACTTAGGTGCACGCCTTCGCCTGGAGGCTAGCGCCTAGGCTCTAGCAGCCCTTTGCGCCTTAGTGCGCCCTGCGCTTTTAATTACTATGCCTGATGCATAAAAGCCCATCATGCCTGTTGCTAAAACTAGTGGTTTTAAAACATCAAAAGATTTATAAATGTATCAGTATAAACATTACACTTCTGGATACATATATGTGTGTGTGTGTGTGTGTGTGTGTGGTGTGTGCATGCACGTGCACAGATATACTTTTGTTTTCTGGTGAGCTTCTATGATTTTAATTTCATTGAGGAATTTGCTTTTGACTTCCATAGCTTGGTTCAATGGACAGAGTGCAGCCATTTGTCACCTAGAAATGTAAATCGTGTGTGTGTGTGTGTGTGTGTGTGTTTTAATGAGTATAACAAAACATCAGACTGTCTTTGATATGTATGTTTTTCATGGGTTGAACATAATGTTTTCTAACTGATTCCGGTCTATGGTTTTGGTACCTCCTTTGAGCCGCATATAACAAAACATCAGACTGTCTTTTATATGTATGTTTTTCATGGGTTGAACATAATGTTTTCTAACTGATTCCGGTCTATGGTTTTGGTACCTCCTTTGAGCCGCATTGAACATAATGTTTTCTAACTGATTCCGGTCTATGGTTTTGGTACCTCCTTTGAGCCGCATATAACAAAACATCAGACTGTCTTTTATATGTATGTTTTTCATGGGTTGAACATAATGTTTTCTAACTGATTCCGGCCTATGGTGTTGGTACCTCCTTTGAGCCGCATGATAATATTTTCTTTTGCTATTTGCTAGTTATGGCTTTCCTTTAAATAAGTTTTATTCACTTGGTTTTGATAGCTGTATGGTCGTTTCAATGGTTATCCTAATACAAAGAATCTTTGTGGATTTGACTTTCTTTGTAGTATGGCCGTATACTAGATATTGAGTTGAAGATACCGCCTCGCCCTCCTTGTTATTGTTTTGTGGAGGTATTATTTTTATTTCTTTTTTGGTTCTGCATGAAACCTATTCCCAAAGAAACGGTGGAGAATAGAGCATTTGTTTTGAACTAATGTGTTTCTTTTGTAGTTTGAGAATGCTCGGGATGCAGAAGATGCAATCAGGGGTCGGGATGGCTATAATTTTGATGGCTGTCGTTTGAGGGTAATAATCAGTTTGAAATCCAGTTATTTTAATGTGTATTTTCAGTCTGGTTCCTAATGTGGCTTCTGATTTCTGTTCACCTAGGTTGAGCTTGCCCATGGTGGTCGAGGACAATCTTCTAGTGATCGCCGCAGTGGCCATGGTGGTGGAGGTGCAGGTCGATATGGCATCTCACGCCATTCTGAATTTCGAGGTTTGTTTTGAGAATTTTAATTTCTTGCTAGAAGGATCTGAAGAATGTTTGCATAATCCAGAAAAAGGTTGAATGTCTTTGCACACATTTCTAGTTTTTATTCTTAATGCCCTATTGTGCAAATCTGATTTGCAGTTATTGTTCGTGGACTACCATCTTCTGCTTCCTGGCAAGATTTGAAGGTTTAGAAATGTGAACTTTTGACAATCAACCAATCAGCATATTTTGTTTGCTAGCTTACTTAGCTGACCAATAAATTGATTTCAGGATCATATGCGAAAAGCAGGTGATGTGTGCTTTGCAGAGGTTTCTCGTGACGGTGATGGTATGCATTTTTCGAGAGCAACTATTTTTAAATTTTGCCATTTTTTATTGCAATTTAATGGAATTGGCCTACTCTGGGTCGGGTGAAAAATGCTTTAATATGTTGTATTATTCTGCATTTAACAGTTAACAAGCCATGCCCTTCATATTCTTACTAAATTGACACTGTTGACTTTTTGTTTTATCAGGAACTTATGGTATTGTTGATTATACTAATCATGAAGACATGAAATATGCTGTAAGTTTCTTCCCCTGCACCTTCATTTTGAGCAGAAAGAGGAAGAGAGGTTTCCAGTTCGTTTGTTTGCATTTTGTCTCTTTCTCTTAACTAGCAACTGATCCAAGCCTCTGTTTCTGCAGGTACGGAAGCTTGATGACACTGAATTTAGAAATCCTTGGGCAAGAGCCTATATTCGGGTAACTATTTAATCTAGAATTATATTAGTCTGTTTGGGACTTAATTTTCTGGCAATCCCTTTCCTATTTGGCTTATAAATATATGCATCAAGGATGCAGGAGGCGTTAAAGTTGACATGCTTATTTGTAGACTAAACTTAATTTATCATCTCCTTTATTTGAAGATGCTTTGCACATGCATGAGAAAGAAATTTGATGTTTTGAAAGCTTCAAATGGAACTGCATTTTTGAATTGGTCATGGTTTTGGTTTATTACTTGTACAGGTGAAGAGGTATGAAGGTAGTCCATCAAGGAGCCGAAGTAGAAGCCGCAGCAGAAGCAGAAGTCCAAGAAGGAACAGGAGGTACACACACACACTATGCACATGGTTACATACATATGGAACGTGTTTTTCCTACATAGTAACATCTTTTGTGCTCTTATGCAGCAAATCATTGGATCGATCTCCTTCAAGATCAGTATCAAAGTCCAGATCAGCATCACCTATTAAATCATCCAGGTATCTAAAGCTAGGTTGCACTTTTGGTCTACATTTTATTTTTGCTTTGTTTTGAATATGTCATTGTTTCTTGGAATATGCAGAGCAAAATCGAGGTCAAGGTCAAGGTCAAGGTCAAGGTCAGGTTCTCCCAATAAGGTAGACTACTTGTTCTCAATGTGTTAATTATTGGACGCGGAAAGAGGGCACTAGCAGAAGAAAGGGCTACCTTTCGGTGAATTGATGAATGCGCATAAACTCAATTTAGCTTTCTCTCTTTGCAGGCCGGATCCAGAAGTGGCTGATCATTTTGCACCTCAGAATGAAATCATGGCTTTTCAAGTGGACTTAAAAGGAAGTTTGACGAGATATGTAATAGGATCATTACTTGAAAATGTCTTGATGAAAACCTAGAATTAAATATTGGCAAATTGGCTTGACAATTAATTGTCAATTTGTGGATCCTGTGGATATTCTGTTTCCTTCATTTATTTTCTTACCCTTTCTAGTTGCACTTGTGCTTCTATTAACTCGGGATTTGCAACCCTTTCCTGATGTGGGGTGTGGATATTGTTTTTAATGCTCCTATTGTATGATCGCAGCGATGTGAATTGGTGTTTATATATAATTAGGTGCATCATAGTGGTGGATGTGATATTTATGTTGTGAATGCCATAGTTTTGCCAGACTGATGATAGAAAATGCTTTCAGCCTGTGATTCGTGCTAAATGTTTTCCCTCTTCACTGGTGGTCTAGTGTTGAGATTACTTGGAGGAATGAACGCTAACCGATATGAACCATTCAGAAAAGGACCAACAGCATAAAATTTTCGTTTGTATTTCATTGTTTCTTGTACTTGGAGGGTAAAAAACAATTTAGTCCTCTAGATGCCTAAATATAATTGTTAGTTTTTTTGTTAGCCGTTAGCTTTTTATTTTGTTTGTTGTGCTTTTAGTTAATAGTTATTTTATACTGTTCAAACTATAAGTTTTTATTAAAAATAGCTGTTTAATTTAAAATGATAAAAAAAGGTATTAGTTATTTAATTAGTTGAATTTGAAGAAAAAATAAATGAATATGATTGTTAAAAAAATTTAATTAGAAATTAAATGGCTAAATATACATTTGCTTATGCACCTAGTTCTTGAATTTTTAAAGAATAATCTTGCAGCATCCCTAATTCTTCCCTAACCCTTCGGGACACTAATTATGCACCTCAAATTTATTTTTTTCCACCAGTAGAGTGTGGATACGATTGCCCAACTTGAATTTATGAAGGTCAACGTGGAAAAATCTTGTCCAGCTTTGCTCTTAGTGGAAATTTTTCTTTTCAATTGGCAACCACTTTCCCTTTCATTTCCCTCTTCTCCTCTTCCTCTCTATGTTAGTAACCTCAGTGCAAGAAAAATTATTTTGTGCTTCCTTTTCGTGAAGTTTTGGAGGGAGATAAAGCCAATCGACTAAGGTTATTTCTTAATTCATCATTTTCCTTCGTTTTCTCAGGGACCAAACACAGTCAATTCATCAAACATTCAATTGAATCACAACCGTAGCCGAAAATAGTCCACTCACACTCCAAAACCTGCAATTAATAAACCTAAGGCAATCACTAAAATAAAAATCATACAAAGCTGCGAAAAAACCCAATTCAGGAACCTAAAATCTGAAATTAGTTTGTAATTTTCATTTTTCAAACACAAAAAGATCAATCTCAATTTTTGGATCTTTTTGCAGTTTAATAATTAGGGAATGTAAAAACGATCATAAAAAAAGTCGATCCATTCTTTTTATCTTATGGGAATTCGAGTTTTGAGAAAATAAGAACTTACATAATTAGCAGAAAAGCAGTGAAATCTCTAAGCACAAAAGTAAGAGATGGGACGAGTCTCTGAGTAGGAAAGAAATAGATGGAAAGGGACCTGTTGTTATAAATTTAAGAATTATTCACGGAATATAACAATACTGAGTTGAGTTGCTAACTACATCGTGTGCCTTTAAAATTGGGCTATGATGTTTTTTGCTTATTATGTCAGACAACTATGGTCCCATCTTCTATTAAGATATCCCAATCAGCACCCGTGTAATTCATGCGCGTCGGCCAGCATATAGAAATGCAGGACTGATGCAAAAGAATGAGCTTGAGATGTGATAGTAGTTTTCGCAATCGCAATAAGTAATATAGAATAAGTAATATAGAATGAGAAGAATCGTATTTATAGGAATTGTATACCAAGTACGAAAATTATGTTAATCTATTATTATTTAAATGGCAACTCAGGGAAATTATTTTAAGAAACTAATTTCAGTAAATAAAAGAGAATAAGAAGAAAGCAAGGCAATTTTTGTTTAAAAGAATCAAGGATTAAAAGTTATTAGGAGTTTTGACTTCACTTAATTCTATCCAATTTATTTTATTAGTTCATTAATCAATTTTAATTGTTCAAGTAGGGAAAATAACCCTAAAATCACTAATAAGCTCTCTAAAAGAGAATAAGAAGAAAGCAAGGCAATTTTTGTTTAAAAGAATTCAAGGATTAAAAAGTTTATTAGGTAGTTTTACTTCACTTAATTCTATCCAATTTATTTTTATTAGTTCATTTAATTCAATTTTTAAAGTTGTTCAAGGTTAGGGAAAATAACCTTAAAATCACTAATAAGCTCTCACCGATGGTATTATTAGTATTTTAACTCCGGTCTAATTACCTATTTTTACAATAGCGCCAATCAAACATGGAATTAAATCATTAAGTTTCATGGCGTTTGTTTTGTTGAATTTTCATAACCTTAAGGTCATTAACTTTGAAAAACCCCCCACGCAGCTCAAAACATATAGCTTCCGCATCAAGTTATTATTCTCATGTAATTTATTACCTTTTTCATTATCAAAAACTACTTTCTCCGGATAGTGATTAATGAAAATAAATCAGTTAAGGAGAGAAACTCTGTCTGGACGCATTAAGTTTAATAACAAATTATACTCTTGAACAAAGAAAAACCAAATCTAATATTATAAATTAAATCTAATATTATAAATTGGAAAAGAAATTAAGTTACATCAAATTCCTAGTATGAGAGTTTAGTTTGACATAGTAATTAAATAAAACTCAATAATACTCGATAAAAGTTTCATAATCGATGTGAATAATGAAAAGTAAAACAAGATTAAGAGTTTAGAGATAAAAACTAGTCAATAATTAATCCTGGACGGCTTCCTTAAATCCTTGCACAAATCTTGAATGCTTGAAGTCTTGGAAAGAGAGAGAAACAATAGAACAAAAACTATCAAAACTGGAGATGTCTTTACGATGAATGACTCCTCTCTTTATATAGACTTCCTAGGAGAGAATCCGACTTCGTTTAGGACTCTTTCATCTGCCTAAATAGGATTAGATCTTAATTTGTACGTCAGGAAAGTATCTGAGGACGGCCTATGCTTAATTTGTACGTCAGGAAAGTATCTGAGGACGGCCTATGCAAGTGATAGAGACTGGCTGGCATTCTCGACTTAAGACAACACTTAATTCGTAGCACGGGTGTGCTATACTGCACGGTTGGGGCGTGCTAGAGCTTGAGTTCTAAGGATGGTTCAGCACGGGCTGTGCTCAGCGGCACGTCTAGAGAAGAATTTGTGGCACGAGCATGCCCCATAGCACGGCTAGGGCGTGCTAAGCTCTAAGTCTCTAGGATGAAATGCATCACGACTCCCGAGGAGGTGTTGGCCGAGTTTGAAGAAGAGGAGGAGGAAGGAGAGAGAGAGAGAGAGAGAGAGAGAGAGAGATGCTGTTGGATCAAATCTATATTATGGTCCTTAATGTTTGGAATGGAGATGAGGAGTGGATCAATCAGAGTGAGGAAGTCTAGATTGGAAGCGACGATGAAGTAGTGAATCACATGACCCGCAGTGGTCAAATTTATCAGCCAGATATGGTCAAGCTGAGGGAAGAAAATGAGAGAGCAAGGCATTATAAAGAATGAACTATGAACTATGAACTATGAAGAACTATTATTAAACAAAAACTAATTAAAGTAATTAAAAACTAAAAATTCTAATAAGAACTATTATTAAAAATACTATAAAAATAACACCTATCAAAATTTCCTAAACTTAAACCATTGTTTGTCCTCAAGCAACAAAACTAAAAACAATAGAACAACACAAACTAAACAAACTAACAAAGCTAGCTTAATATGATTGGAGATAATTATTCACAATTTCAAAAATATCAAAAATTATTAATATGAGAATAAAAATTATATTCTAGCAAAAATTCAATTTTCAATAAAACACATTCCCTTATTTAATCATAAGTTAATAAGATTTTCAACACCAATGTAAGTTAATAAAGATTTTTCAACACCAATAATTTATTCATATCTATGCATAAATAAAAGAATATGAATTTCGTACAAAAAGGTATTTTTAAACTTTAAATAAGATATTTAACATACAAAAAGTATTTAACCTTTAAATAAGATATTTAACAATATAAGTTCAACATTTCCATAGGCAAAATTAGTCATCCCTTCTCCACAATTGAAATTTATACAATTAAAAAGATCAAAAGGTCTTTATTTAGGTTGTAATGGGGTTTTAGGGATATAACCATAGCTAACAAAGAAAAAGGATAACATGGTAGACAAAAGTGCAAAGAATATATAATATCAAGGCTTTCATTTATATTAAAACGAAATTTTGTAAAGGGGGATTCACTTGAAGTTCTTTACTAGCTCAATGATTTGAGATGCTTTTGGCAAGGTCTCTTCATAATACTTTTGATATTTTTTTCCTTGCTTTATTTTCCCAAACTTGAATTCTTGATTGATTATTTCTTTTATGTGGTGTTTCTCTTTGAGTTTTTCTACTTGCTTCAATCGCTAGTATTAATAAAATTTTCCCCCTTTTTGTTGCTATGTTTTAATAAAAATCGAATCCTTCACTTATACATTATTGCACTTAGGGTAGGAATTTAAATTGGTTTAATGGCTAGGCTTAATAGGCTAGGTTTATTGAGGGTGAAAAAGAAAATTTTATGGTTTATAGGCTTCAAAGTTGGCTTCAAGGGTCATATTTTTGACTTAGGTGTAAATAAGGGGTTCAACAAAAAGAATGCTTAATCATCTCTTTCTATAATGTAAGTCATTTAAAAATTTTGTCTCAAAGAAAATTCTAATTTGTTCTCGAATGCCAAGGTTAATAAATTTGATTTAAAAAACAGTTCTTTCAACAAAGAATGCCTAAATCATCTCTTTCTAAATGTAAGCATTTAAAATTTTGTCTCAAAGAAAATTCTAATTTGTTCTAGGAATGCCAAGGTTAATAAATTTTGATTAAAAAACATCTATATATCATAGAATTCACAAAAGATTTAGTGTTTATAATCTTAGAAATAAATAGTTAAACCAAGGAATTATGTTAAGTCAAAAGTTAAAATTTAAGCTAAAAATAATTAACTTCGAATAACAACTAAATTCACTGCAAGTTAATGAATTATGATAATTTTTAAACTTACTCATAATTATTCCAACCATATTAGACTAATGAAACGGAAAAAATAAAAATTTTAACTAAAATTTCCCTTCCCCTAACTTAATCTAGCACATTGTCCTAAATGAGCTTTAAAGCAATTCCTCAAACTTATCATATTATCAATAATGTAAAAGAATAAGAATGTCTAGGAACCATTACCATCATTGTATTGAAAAATACAATAAAATTGAAGGAAAAGATACGAAAGGAGCTGGATGTTGGAAATTAACAAAGCTATAAAATAGAAAACACTAAAACACAAAGATATAATATCCAATATACTTAATACACATAAAGAGGAACAAAAATCAAAATAGAAAGCAACCGAAAAAGAACCATAAATAATCAATATTCAGGTGGTGGAGGTGAATGCGGCTGCAACAATTGAATCACGGTTTGGAGTTGACTAGCAATTCCCTGATATTGGCCTTGCATGGTGTTGATATGAGAGTTGAGGCTCCCATGCATAATCTCTATTGACTGGAAACGGTCAGCAATCATGGACTCCATTCCATTAAGGCGAGTATCAAACATGTTCATTCGGGACATCATACATGCAAAAACTTCATCGTTGGACAGGTTAGATGCTCCCTAAAAAGAAGGACCAGCTCCAAAAGTACCTGCACCAGAAGAAGTACCAAAACCAGGAAAAGGAGTCAGATTACCCTCCTCATATTAGTGTCACCAGCATCCTCAGCCTCTCTTCATCAGGACTCTCTCCTCGAGCACCCACAATACAGTACAAATCTCCTACTTTTTCCACCAACTTCATATGCAGCATGACATCTAAGTCTAGCCTAGTGCCCTTTCCTCCTCCCACACTATCATATACTGGCCTAGCAGGGTTCCAAGCTCTCAAATAAGATGCAGTTCGGGTCACAAAACACCCCATCATAATAGCTCCTTTATCTGCCCGTGCAACTCTAGCCCATCGTAAACATAATCAATAACCAACATTGAGAAATTCCCTGATCAATCGCCCATATAAAATATAATTCATTGAGACTCAACACTCCATCACTCTCACTTCGCCCAAAAATAGTGTTGGCTAAGAATTTATGAATATACCTCAAAGCTGGGTTTCTTAATTTTGACGCTTTTGAAAGCTTAGGATTATAGTTATATTCTCCAGTTAGTATTGTCCACGTGGTTTGATCTCTAAAATCCTTAGGTTCAATTAAGGGCATTTTCAGTTGGGAAACTAAAGATATGACTAACCTCGTTAATTGAAAGTTCAAAATTTCTCCCAAAAAGCCTAAATTTAATTTTGCTAGGAAATTCAACAGGCAACAGTCAAATAAGAGAATAATATAAACTCAAAAACTCTAAAGTCATAGGCACATAAACAATTGCAATACATTGTTCCCACCCAATACGCTTAAGGGGTTCTAAAATAGAGTCTCTAAGCCCTACTTGTGCTAATGCAGATTCATCGATAAAGCAATTTGGAAAAATAGGGCAAAGAGAGAGTTTATTGTACCTTTTCTGCTATTCTGGTGAGTTGATCTCAAACGGAGGAGGGGCCAGAGCTGTAGGAGGAGGAA